ACAAAAGGCTATGAATCGACAGTCAGTCAGTCAGTGTCGTTGACCTCCCATCCTCACGGGTCGCAGAGGCACACGGGTTAGAGAGTGCTTCCAACGTTCCAAATCCTATGCCAGAGTCCGAGCTTCGGCAGAAGACAACCGGAATTTAGAGCAGACTACGCCCATATATTTGCACCAGGTCAATCTTTGCAACCTAGGTGTTTCGCCGATCGTTTGGGCAACAAACAGTTGCTTAGCGTTCTTTTCCGAAGGCATTCGCAACACGTGTCCAAACCATTGCAGCTGTGACTTCTCAATCTGGAGAAGCAAAGGCTGTACACCAAGGCTCTTCCGGATGTCAGTATTCCGGGCCATGTCGAGACGCGTAAGGCCAGCGACTCGTCTAAGAAAGCCCATTTTAGCAGCTTGTACCCGGGTTCGAAGGTTTTCAGTGATGGTCCACGATTCATGACCTTGGGTAAGCATGGGAAAAAAGATCGACTTGAATATTGAGAGCTTAGTTTTCAGACTGAGCTCTGCTTTAGTCACAATGGATCGGGCTAGTTTACGCAGAACATTACTGGCTACTCCAATTCGCCGGTCGATCTCTGCCTCCAATTTTTCATCACTAGTAAATACAGTACCGAGGCACTTGAACTTCTCCACCTGCTACATTGCCTCTCCGTTAATCTGAAGAGAGCAACGGGCAGGAGAACGAGAAAGCACTAGGTTTTCCGTTTAAGATGCGTTCACACGCATGCCGGTCACGTCGCACTTTGCTGCGAACCTTTCTAGAGAGCACTGAAGATCAGTTTCAGAGTATGCTAATAAAACAAGTTAGTTGCAAACAGCAACCTTCTCGTCTTCACATCTCCTACACCGATACACTCATCGTCTTGGCAGCTCCTGACTAATCTATCCATGCACAACACAAACAGGATAGGGGACAGGACGCAGCCTTGACGGAGACCAGTGAAAACGTTGAAAGGTTTCGACTTAACACCTTTTACTCTGACGCGGCATCTGCTATTAGCATATTGTGACTGGATGGCCCGTAGCAATAGACCATCAATTGCATATGTTCGCAGGCATGCCAAAAGACTGTTGCGTGAGATTCAGTAGTAGGCTTTGTCCGGGTCAATAAAGCATATGTAAACAGCATGAACGACCTGCAATGACTTAATTTTCCCCCAGTAATCTGGCGTTTGGGTGAAAATCTGGTCTGAGATGCTCTAATCTGACTTGAAGCTACACTGATATTCTTCAATCTTAACATCAGCTCTTCCACCGTACTTTCTTTCCAGTACCTCTGCGTAGGCTTTAGCCGGTATGCTCAATAAAGTAATGCCCTGATAAATGGAACACTCCTTATGATGTCTGTTCTTGAACAAGGGTACTACCACCCCAGTTCTGAAGTCACCTGCAGTCGGGCACGTGACAACCATGTGTTAGCCAGAACATGTTGTTCGCGTAAAGCCTTGAGCGTCTCAAGACGGATTTCATCAATTCCAGCAGCCTTGCCATTTTTTAAATTTGTAAATTAAAGTTATTAAATAAAAGTTTACCTTGCAAGCACCAGGTCGTGTCTGTGATACTCCAGGGCCTTCGCGAAATCTTTCATCCAAAAGTACGCATTTCCCAGCAGGCAGTACATCGCGCTGAGCATGCGCAGATTGTCGGTGCCATAAACGAGCGCCGATTCGAGGTGCATCACCGCATTCGGGTAGTCGCCGATGACGTACAACTCTTGACCTTTGTGTGCCAGGTCTTCGCAGATATCCATCTGTGGTCTGGCCACTGCATCTTGAGGTATGCTAAAACTACTGTTTCACATTAAACGAACAAAATGAAAATTTGACGAATGTTTAAAATCATGTCACAGACAACTTCGGATGGTGAGTCAAATCGACAAGTCGCTCAAGGTAAGTATTTTGGCAAAGTGATAGTGAGTGAAAGTGAAGAAAACACAGAAACGGAAGTGGAGGTTATGGCACAAGATCATCATCAGTATCTGTCGATCGATTGGTTGACGAACGCCTTTCAAAGACTTCACGATAGACTTCTGTTTTCCGCCACATTCATCCATGTTCATCTAACGAACAACTTCAGCTCATCCTGCCATCGACCTGGAAGTAGTGGACGAGTAGTTTACTCTCTCTTTGAACTTACTCTAACTTAGTCGCTGATACATCAACAAACGATTCTTCGTACAACATCTTCTGCTCATTGTCACCTTAACATCGACACTCCAGCAAAGGCATCGCAGACTCTTCTCTATGGCCTTCTCAATTCATTAGTTCCCCAATCTTTTGTTCTTATTCCCAACAAATCACCCAATGCTACGTTGCGCGGTGTTCGATTTATGAATAGATTTCAGGCTAAGGATCAACGTTTCGCATCCATAGGTTCGCACCAGAAGCACCTACTGACAACAGAAGTTTTACGGATAAGAAAGTTTTCAGTCTTCATAACTCCTACGCTGCCAGTCACAAATCCAGGTGAGAAAGCAAGAGGGTTGGAGATCGTGGCCGAATCTAAGTATAACTTACCCACTTACAATTCATGGTATTGCCGTCATCGAAAATTATACTGGCTCGGTGGTCGACCGGATTATCAACAGCTGCGCAGACTGTTGGCAATCACAATCTGCTCATCGCCCTCTGCCAGCCGGGGGCGTGGCAGCACAATGACGGTTGACGAAGACCGACGCAACGACGACGAAGATACCAGTCAGCAACGGAGTTGCTACCCGTTCTGGACGGAGGAGGCAGACATCGCAATGCCACTGCAGCATGTTCGAAAATGCTCCACGAAAACAACACCGCCAGTGGCTGGAAGCTTACAGTTGTAAACTGGAATATGTCACAGACGGAAAAAGGAAGAGTTAGCTGATGAGGTTGTAAAGAAAAACTCAACAAAGTTGAACTCTCGTCAAAGAAACGTCAAGGCTCTGGGATCCTGAAAATCTGCGGGTGGAAGCTACTCTACTCAAGTTTTGATATCATTATGGGCGCTCATGCCGGTGTTGGTGTTATGGTATAACCCACTCTGGCTGATAGCATCACTGACTGGAAGCCTGTCAGCGGTGCGCTGGCCATCCTCCGACTGAAACTATAACAGGCTACAACAGGTATATGCGCCCAATTAAAAGAGGGAATATGAATCTTTCTAGCAGAAGTGGTGCGCTCTGTACGAATTGCCGAATACAGAGTCCCTTATACTCATGGACGATTTTAATGAGCAGATCGGAACAAACACTGAAAAGTGAAAAGACGTGATTGGAAAAAATAGCCCTAGCGACCTCAACAATAACCGCATGAAGTTGTTGCGGTTTTGTGCAAACAACGCACTGTCCATAATGAACACCTTCTTCGGGCATCGAGAAGAGTGCATCAATATACCTGGTAGCAGCAAGCCTGCGCAAAGAAGTCGATGATCGGTTTGATAATAGAACTGACATAAGACGCTCAGTAAATGGATGATCGCGTTAAGAGAGGCGCAGAGCTATCAGTCGATCACCACCTTGTTGTTGACACACTGTTCTGTAAGAAATGGAGTACCATACGAAGATCTGGTGACAGAAGCAACCGGAGAATCAAATGGGAAACAATTTCTTCAGTGGACACGAGAGCGAAATTTACATCGTACGACGGTTTGAACAGATCTCAATGACGTAGAAACCGAATGGCAGTTCTTTAAGAGCGGTATACTCGAGGCTGCCGCCGAATGCTTCGGATTTAAACGGATTAGCCTGCTGCCTAGGGGTCAGAAAAGATCTTCCTGGTGGACACGAGAGGTACAACTGGCAGTTAGAGATGAAAGAAGCGTTCAAGAAATGGCTTGGAAACAATGACCCTTCTACTCACGTGCGATATATCGAGGCAGGCATGACAGCAGCCAAAGCTGTTTCCTGTGAGCAGTTCGATGAGGTGTTGTAGTCGAATTTAAGATGGCAAACAAGGTATTTAGGCCGATCATCTGCCGGCTTCAAGGTTAAAAGAAGGGCAACCCAAGAGTCCTAAAGGGCAACTGTGGGGATCGTCTTACCGATGATGAGGATATTTTACTGAGATGGAGAAAGTACTTTGAGGAACTGCCTAAGCCAGAGCAACCGCAGGAAAACTCGCCTGATGAGCAGCAGAGAACGGATATTAATATTTCTGTAGATGAAACTGCACAAGCTATGAAAAGCTTCAAATGTGAAACGGCTACTTTAAATGATGAAATCCAACCTTGAAGGCTTAACGAATTAGTCGAATAGAGCATATGCTGGCTAACACGTGTCTGTCAAGGTGCAACTGCTGCGCGGAAAACACCAGTGGACTGGAGAACGTGGGTTGTAGCACCACTGTTGAAGATGAGAGACCATGACGAATGCATCAATTAGCCGCCCTGGTAATATCTACGCAGAGGCTCTGAAAAGGAGGTGCCGTGAAATAACTAACTCCAAGACAGAACATGAGCATGATTACTTCCGGCCATACCAAAGCACATCTGATCAGATTATCGCCTTGCGCCAGACTGTTGATCAATCGTGTTTCGTAGACCTACTGAAAGCTTATGACCGGATCCCGCGCAACAATCTATGGGCATGCCTGCAAACATGTGAAATCCATGCCCAGATCCAACGGGCCATCAAATCACTATATGCTGAGATAAGGTGCTGCGTCAGAGTAAATGGCGTTAAGTCGAAGTCTTTGAGCACTGCCACTGGTCTCCGCCAAGGCTGAGCCCAGCGCCCTCTCCTGTTTCTGTTGTGCATGGATAGAATAGTCAGACGCAGCCACGGCGATGAGAGAAGTGGTATTAATGTAGGAAATGTCGAGACAAGAATGTTGCTGTTTTCGGACAACCTTGTTTCGTTGACATTTTGTTCAGCTCTCTCTTGAAATGTTCTCAGCCGAATGCGACGTAGCAATGATGCATGTGAACATATCTAAAACGGAGAAACAGTGGAGCAGGTATAGGTGTTCAACCATCTCCGTGTAGTTTTCACTGATGATATAAAACGGTAACAATAGATCGACCGGGAAAGAGGAACAGCCAGTGGCGTTTGCGTGAACTTATTCGAACCGTTGTGGCTGAAGCAGAGGTTAATCTGTAGATAATGCTTTCCGTGTTCAAGCAGATCTTCGTCTCGAGGTTTATCTGCGGTCATGCGGCGTGGGCCATCATTGGGTAACTTCGATACAGACACAAACTACTGAAAGAGGCTTCCTGAATCGAGTCGCTAGCGTTAGGTGTCTTGACACGGTCGGGAGTACACAAGTCCGCGACAACATTGGTCTACAGCTGCTTCTTCAGATTGAGAAGTCATAGCTACAATGGTTTGGGCATGATTTGCGAATGCCTCTAGAAAGGACGGCTAAGCAACTTTTTCTTGCCCAACCGGCCGGCAGAAGGCCCAGAGAAAGGCCAAGATTAACCTGGTGCAAATATATGCGAGGAGTCTGCTCATCAGACTCCAGTTGTCTTCTGCCGTGCCGAAGCTCAGATTCTGCAAGAGGAAAGCCTGCCTCGGTGATCCGAAAGAAGAAGCGGTCATGGACGATAAGGATGAGGCTGATGAAGACAGCACTCCACACCATTTTTGTACATTGATTTCAAATAGTTGGTCCTAGGCTGTTGTGATGGCCTGTCACAGGTAGAGTAGTTTTGCTTCTTTTCAAATTTAAGTCGGTTGACTTCAGTATGTCGCACGGATACGCACTTGTGGAACATCACCCGAGACTTTTCCGGTTCATTCTTAATGCCACTTTCATCATGAAATCGTATCATTTGGGTTTTTCTTTGAAGTACTTCTGGCGACCTTAAAAGGTTCAGAATATCGTTTGCAAAACCCAGGTGGCTTAGGTAATGATTAGTTACATTCAACCCCTGATTTTCCCAAAAGAGTGTCTTGTAAATCTGTTCCAAGGCTACTATGAATGCAGTGATATTGCGTCTCTCTCGGACATCCTGATAGCAGACAGTCGAATATAACGAACTGAAACGCAACATGCACAAAAGTCAAACACAAACCTGGACTCCGAACTTCAAGAACCAACCAAAGAGATTCTTAAACTTTGCGGGTGCTCAGCAGAGAGCAACTTGGCACGTAAGAAGTACGCTGTAAGCAAACTATCCTTGCTAAAAGAGAAGAGTCAACTAGCGACCCGTGATACGCCAGCCATCAGCAGCAAAGTTTTTCTTCTAACTGCTACGCTTAC